ATGTCTCCACAGCTTTGACTGATACCGTGTAGTGCTCACCCTTATATTTGATAGACCCACAATAATCTCATTGTTAGAAGCATTAAGCCGGCAGATAAATCTATACATAAGATTTCGTAACAGAGCTCTAAAAGTGATTACTCTTGCACTCACAAACATTTCACTTGCAATATGCCATCTAGGTCTCCTTAGTAAAATTCTCATTGTATCATTACAAGCTACTTGGAGCTTCTGTAAACTAAATGTTCTATAGTTGAACCACAAATGAGCAGTATAAAGTATTGTACAGTACGTTTTAAACAATGACGCCACCTCATCTGAACAGAAACTAAACTTACGTACAAGTATATTCGCCTGCATATACATCATACAGCGTTGCCTATCAATATCCTCATCATCTGTCATGTGCTCAGTGATAAAATGTCCAAGGTATTTTACTTTCGCACACACAGTGAGACTCTTATTAGACCACATAAAAACTGGAAATTGTATACTTTTATTCCTCCTTAGTTCCGCAAATCATAACCACACTCTTATCAGGATTATTAGGACATAATCACTATTGGATCATTAACTTGAATATCGTCCACATTATACAATTTATTTTGGATGCAATTAAAAAGACTACAATAATGTTGTCTCCATAACTCCGCAATATTATCTGCCCCAGAAACGCCATCTAAAGTACAAGGAAGAGATACTCTGCAAGCAACTATTAAAAGTTCTAACTTCTTTCTAAAAATCAGTAATATTATGATTTAACAGCTTCATAGCCATAGAATCAGCCCTCTGCTCATTTTTACAGATAAAATGAATAGCATACTTATATCTTGCATTTGTAGACTTCTTATACTCAAGCTCAGGCCCTTGCCCGGGTCTACCAGCCATAACCCATAATTTAAAAGCTTCCCAGGCTTCAGCATGATATTCAGCTACATATTTACTCCAGCCAGGCCTAGTCTTATTCATTATACCCTTTGATTTAAAAAATGGCTTACTACAACGTGCAGGCATTAACTATATCATTATACATTGATCAGATATCCCTCTGATGATTTACATCTTTACAGTTAATATCGCTACACATTATTGCATCCTTAGGTAAATGAATATTACTCAGACATTTATCTGCACTTATAATAGGCTAAAAGATCCTCCTTTGTAAGTGCTGACCAATCCATTTTTGCAACATTAGTATTGTTCTCATTGTTAGACATCGCTACGAAATACTCAACATTTATCACCATAGAGACAGGAATGTGATCAGTTGTTACTGTATCATATGAGATACTCATAACCCTCAGTGAGGAATGTGCATCTGCTGTACTAATACAATGGTCCAAGCATGATGTTGTGTTCCAAGCCTCACTAACATAGGTATAGCTATCTACAAGCAAACACACTTCACTTGACAAAATGAGATTATTATCTTGGCAAAATTTAAAAGCCAGTCTATTTAAGTACTCATATTCATTATGATGGCATTCATAAGGTGTATACACATTTAGAATAATACATTTCTTATCTTGATAAGTAATCTGTATTGCAATACACCAATTAACATCCAGTCTAACCACCTTAAGTGAAAGTGAAAGTGACGTGACGTGGCCAAGTATGGTGACCCATACTCGGAATTAGTGCTCTGCATTTACCCATCCAAAGTGCACACACACAGCAGTGAACACACACACACCGTGAACACACACCCGGAGCAGTTATTAACCAGTGAGTCTAAGTTTCTTTTCCACAGTATGGCTACACCCCCAGATATCCTACATTTAATAAAATCCATACCAAGATCTGTTGTGGATTCACCAGCACCATGAAAGTTATCATTAAAAGAATTCATTTTATCCAAGTCTTGCATTGCTAAAAATGTCTCTTGCAAGCATAAAATGTCACAGTTCTCCAAAAGGCTTTATCCCCAATACTCTGGCCCACACGCAGACCACGACAGTTGTATGACACAACCCGAATGTCCATGGGGGGCACCAGTACTTGTTTATTCTACCCGAGGGTGCACACTCTTACTAGCAGGTGAGAGCAAGAGACGCTTGACGTACTGGTTTTGTAGTTAAAGACAGACTGTGAAAGTTCCGTCTCTAGATCCTTCAGCTGGATCTTCTCTCGTTCTCTACCATCCCTCCAGAATTTCATAACCACCTCGTTGATCATCGTACTCCCAGCATTGCTATAAAAAAAACACAACAACTGGCTTACAGAGGCTGTTTGGTTGAAGTGTATGGGTCAACAGTTTTCTGTGCCGATGCCACTGACCTGAGGAAGATGAAGATGGCCTGTCTGTACGACACTCCGTTCAGGTTGTCGTAGAAGTCCAGGTAAGGTTTAATACTGTCGATCAGCTCCGGATGCATTTTATCCATTTCATCAAAGATGAACAGGGAACGCGGGCAGATGGAAACATTCCCTCGTATCCACTCTGGTAACTGGATCTGAACAAAAATATGTGTTGCGTGTGTGTATATATATACAGTGGGTACGGAAAGTATTCAGACCCCCTTAAATTTTTCACTCTTTGTTATATTGCAGCCATTTGCTAAAATCATTTAAGTTAATTTTTTTTCCTCATTAATGTACACACAGCACCCCATATTGACAGAAAAACACACAATTGTTGACATTTTTGCAGATTTATTAAAAAAGAAAAACTGAAATATCACATGGTCCTAAGTATTCAGACCCTTTGCTGTGACACTCATATATTTAACTCAGGTGCTGTCCATTTCTTCTGATCATCCTTGAGATGGTTCTACACCTTCATTTGAGTCCAGCTGTGTTTGATTATACTGATTGGACTTGATTAGGAAAGCCACACACCTGTCTATATAAGACCTTACAGTGACAGTGAAGGGACACAAAAACATTTATATATTAAAATGTAATTGTATTCATTTTGGTGCAACAAAATACATGTCATTTCCACATATTTGCATATTGTGCATTTTCACTGTATACTGTATCACTAATTACCTTGTACGTGTCAATGTGAGCCTTGTGAGGAAAGTGTGCTGTCGCTGTAAACAGGTGAACGAAGTTGCTCCTCATCTTGTTCTTGTAAATATTTTCTGCTATAAGCTGGCTCACGAAGTTCTTCCCGGTCCCGGTAGAGCCGTGGAGGGACAGAACCAGCGGTTTCTTTGGGTTTTTACTCTTTATGAAGCCCGTGACGGCTTTCAGGATGACCTGAGCAGCGACATGCTGCCCGAAAAGCTTTGTTTGAATGTCTTTCTTCAGTCCTATAGATGAGAGGACAGATTTATAGCATGTTGGCACGCTGTACTGATTTACAAAACATGCAACATTCCAGCAATATCCAATTGTTGAGATTGCCCAGAGCAGAGTTTGAGCCCACAATCTTTTAGTTAACAGCCTTTTTGGTCTTTTACCATTGTGCCACACCTTAGCATTGCCTAGTAATATAGACACAACAAATAAAACTACAGTAATATAAATGTATACTGCACATGTGCAAAATATTCATACATAAATATATTAACAACATAATCAAGTGGGGAAATACATTTATGTACTATTACATTTAATTAAGTATTTAGTTTTTTATATATATAATAACGTGTGGTTTATATACACGTTGCTGCTGGATGGGCTGACATTTTTGACACACCCACCAAACAAAAGAAAACGCATCTCAAACCCTGTTACACACCGTTTCCAGGAAACATGTCGTTCAACCCGGAAACCGTAGCAAAACGTTGCACACCAATTTGAGCTTGAACTTGCCCCCGTTTTCCGGGTTTGAGGTTTGACTAAGTGATAATTAAATAAATAACTGCATACGCCTAAATAATTTAATAAATACTAAAAAAAAAAAAACTTAATTTTATAAGTCATTGTATCATTTACATTTCCTCATACGTTTTCATTTGATTTTATTTATTAATGTTGCAGGTTTCGTTCTGTATATCACACGATTTAATCAAAATGTATTCTGATCAAATCCACTCTCTTTTACCTTCTTCATTGAAGTTGATCCACTTCTTATCACAGACTTCCTTATTCCAATTGAAAGACCAGTTTACCAGAGCAGCAACTCCTGCAAAAACTCCAATAACGACGGGTACAGGAGGGAGCATCTCGCTTGTCGTTTCACATCGATACAGAAAAGCTCAACTCAGCCTCAACTCATCCTCCACTTCCTAGTCACATGATCTTTCTGAATTTTGAATCTCGTTTTGAAGTTTGAAGACTGCTTTGAGATGAGCAAAATCTGCGCAGAATGAAAAATAAATACATAAATAAAATTAAAAACCGGAAATATATTATTTTATAGTGTAAGACCATGGCTGGGATGAATATCAAGAAAAAGTAATTTTTTGCATTATGTAAACCAAACAAAAACCAAAGAACTAACCATGACTGCTGTGTTTTAATGCATACGTTAAAAGCTGTTCTTGATGAGTATGATATTCATGATAACTCGATTATAACGTGTTAAATCAAGTACTTATTCTCGGGAAATAATCAAAAATGGATGGATAAATTATTTGCTTGCGTTGTAATTACTACCTATGTACTCTAGGGTGCCTGCAATGTCCACATATTCTGTTCTGCACTTTTAACCATCCGAGGGAGTGAAAAAAGACAGTCGGAGATATAGGCATATAAACCAATGCAAGTAACAATTAATTAATCAATAAATAATAATAATAACAACAACAACAACAACAATAAAAGGAAACAAATGACATGTGTATGAAATATAAGTAAACAGGAACACTTTTTATTTATTTATTTATTATTATTATTATTTTATTAATTGTATATGCTGAACAATTAACATTCAAGAGTATAACAAAAGGTTACAAACATGGTGTTCACGTTTTCTGGAAGAAAAAAAAAAGAAAAGGGGGAAAAAAATAAATAAATAATAAGGAGGGTATACATCAATGATCACAATAGAAAAGAGACAGACCTTGAAGAGTTTGGAACACTTTTTAGTGTGCGACGTGCAGCTGACG